TTGGTGCGCGGAGGACGTGCTGTTCCCAATTCGCGAGCGTGGTGTGCAAACCTGTTTTTAGGAAGGCGTGGCGCGCAGGGGAGTTTTGTGGGTGCGTGCGGTGTCGGGAGGAAAGGCAGAATATATAGTAAGTGTTTTGAAAGTGGATTTTTATTATCCGTAATGTGCGGCGCTTGCCGCCTGACACGGATTTTTTCACTTAATTGAGTTTTTTAAAGGACTCGGCGTTTTTCAGATCGGGGATTTTTCGCAGTCGTAGCACGTCATGAATCTATAATTTATTATTATATTTCTTGAAAGTCCGATCGCTGGCGCCTGTGCTTAAGTAGTACTAGTATTGAAACAATGGTCCCTTTTGTTGCCTTTATTTTTACCTGCTTGGCGCCGAGATCTAGGGGTAGGGCCGTAACACGCGGACATAGCTTTTTTTTGGCCTCACCTGTGAAAACGACCCATGTGAGTGTTTTCTGCGTCTCGTCAACAGTAGGGGACTTTTACGTGGAATGTTTAGTCTGGCGGAGGACATTTGAGTGACTGTCTGAGCACGTGGCGCGTTCTAGCCTGAGTCGCTGGCTAGTGCTGGCCATTTATAAATCTTTTGATGCGATGAAGTAAGTTAGTTGGCCTGTTGTATGTGTTTGATACTTCTCGTTGTTAAGTTATTGATTTTAATAAAGAAAAAAGTTCAAAATAAAGAAAAAATGTGTAACGGAGTTTAGATTAAGCCGGGTGTCGTATGGCATACATGTGTGTTTTTCCGCTGAATTGTATTTTTATACGATGAATGAAATAATGAGATTAGTTATAGATTTAACCGATTCTTTTAAACTACGCTAGACTGTCGGCCAATTAAGATCACGACATTGAAAATGCAGGTGACACATCGGCGTCTGCGAATCATGTCTATACCAACACAGGTTTGGTTACGAATTCAGAACCTCATCTAAAGTTTCGATTAGTGTATAGCGTGCTATGGACCGTATCTACCAATTAAGTCTCACAATAGCCGCTAACGAAATCGTGTAATTACTCCACCGATTGTCGCACTATGCGAAAAAATGCAAAATCCTCCCTTCCTCTTTCTCTCCTC